TCTTATGGACTGCAATAACATTGGGGTCAAATGGTATGTTTGACACCACTAGATTAAAAGATACTTTTATTAGCTTTTTAGTAACTATTAGGTTTTTGTGATCGAGAAAAACTTAAAAGAAAAAGGGAGTACTTGTTTGACAAAAAAGTTGATAGTATGATTCATTTATGTTTGGTATACATGTTATATATTGAGATTAATTAATGTTATAAGCTACAGACTTATCTGAGATACTGCTGACTATAACATCTCAAAAACGATCCTTTATTATTAAAAAATCTCTTAAAAATTAGCATTCCAAACATACAATTAGAATCTTTAAAAAAAAGTGCAAAAACTATAATTAAGTGACTTAGACTTACCAAGTGTGCACCAAAGCTCAAAAATGACTTTTTCAGCAACCAATTGAATGGATAAATTGATCACTAATAAATAAAAAGAAAATTGACAAGAATAATCATGTCTTTCACTAGTCTTTTCATAATAATCTCACATTTACGTAATCCTAGAATAATTCTACTTTTCACCTCATTTTCTTTCGTTGGGCCCTGACATGTTGATGACCTATTATACCAGGACACCAGGTTTTTTACCCTTTCTTTTAAAACCTTATATAAATAATCCCACCTTTCACAAATCTGTTCAAAACGTTCCCATATTTCATTTTTTCCCTCCCTAAAATTTTTCTTTCTTTTTTTATCCCTAGACATTTTTAATTACTTTTTCTATCATTTTGTTCTTATTTCTTTTCCATTTTTATTATTCTATTTCTCACTCTATTAGGAGAGATTTTTCTGTGAAATTTCTCTTCAAAATAGCTCTTTTTTGTCGTTTTCCTTTTCTTTCCGTATTTTTATTTCATTTCCCTTTTTAGGTTTTTCTTCTTAATCATTCTATTCTCACTAAAGATCTTATTTTAAAAGTGAAAATATAAAAGTGGATAAGTGAAAATAAAAAGAAAACATAACAAAAAGTAAAGTGAGTAAAAGATCTTTAATACTCCCTCCGTTCTTTATTAATAGTCCCGCTAGCCTTGGGCAAGAGTTTTAATAAATAATAATAAAGTAGTAGGGTAAGTATAGAGTGTGTATGATAAATGATAAAGTAGGAAAGAGGGTGTATTAAAAAGAGTAAAGTGATTATAAAGTAGGAAAGAGAGTGTATTAAGTAGATTAAAGTAATGATAAAGTAGAACAGAGAAAGTAGTTCGTAAAAAGTAAGTGGAGTAAAAGTAATAAAAATGAGTGTATTTTATCAAAAACTTTCCTTAAATGGAAAGGAGAACAAATAAAAAAACAGCCCAATATGGAATAAGAGACTATTAATAAAGAACGAGGGGAGTATATAAGAAGAGAATGATTAAGAAGAAAAACATAAAAAGGGAAATGAAATGAAATACGGAAATAAAAAGAAAACGACAAAAAAGAGCTATTTTGAAGAGAAATTCTACAAAAAAAATCCCCTAATAGAGTAAGAAATAGAATAATAAAAATGGAAAAGAAATAAGAATAAAAGGATAGAAAATGGAATACAAAGTGTATATGGATGAAAATAAAGAAAGAAAAATTTTAGGGAGAAAAAAATGAAACATGGGCCCGTTTTGAGCAGATTTGTGAAAGGTGGGATTATTTATATAAGATTTTCAAAGAAAGGGTAAAAATCTGGTATACTAGGTCATCAACATGTCAGGGTCCAAAGAAAAAAGATGGGGTGCAAAGGTGAGACTATTCTGGGATTACATAAAGGTGGGATTTGTATGAGAAAACCAGTGAAAGGTGAGATTATTTGTCAATTTTTTCTAAATAAAAAGAGCCGAAGTGCAACAGAAACTTCAAACCTCGCAAATAGTAGAATATTTCAATCATAAGAATGTTTTTAATTACTTGGACTGGTTTTAGGGGGTGTTTGGATCTGATTTTTAAAGTTGCTTCTACTTCATTACAGAGCAGAATAAGAAGTTGGAATGTTTGGGTGAAAGTGCAAAAGTGATTTTGGTGCTCTAATTTACTCCTAGAATCAGTTTTTTTAGAAGTTGGTGAAGACCAGCTTCTGAAAACTGATTCTGATTCTGCTTCTGCTTTAAAAAAGAAGTAGAAGCAGAATCAGTTCCAAACACCCTCTTAGTCTCAAATCATAGCAGAACAGAAAATGAGATTTAACCAGATTAGAATAGACCAAATCAGATTTCGACAGTTGTAAAATACATATGGGCTAGACATCTATCAGATCAGATCAGACCAGACCTGTTCGAATCAAACCAAACTTAATTAGATGAGACCAATCGAAACAAAATTGAAAAATCTCAATCAAATTATAAACATCCTAAATTCTTCGGAGCTACGCTAGGTGTACACATTTAGGTGTACAGTTGTACACCTTTCGTACATCAGTCTGTCTCACGCACACAGAATTGTCTATTCACAAATAATTCTGTAGAGTTATTTGTAGACAGACAATTCTATGTGCGTGAGATAGACGAGTGTACGAAAGATGTATACCTATATATGTACACCAAATATTTTTCAATTCTTCGACATATTCATAATAATCTGCCTTTCTCCGAAATCAATATCTACAGTTGAGATCGGATTGAGATTATCCCGCCATGAACAATGCAGATAATTGCGCTCGTACAGTTAAATTGGATTGGATGCTTTCATGCTTATGATTAATGGTGGGTCAACACATATGGATATGGAATCGGATAGAATTCGGGGCACATATATGAGTACATAAAAATCTGAAAAGACGCAAAGAGTACACGTGCCATTGCAATTTTTATACTCCGTACTCCGTATTTTATAGTGCTATATTTATATATATACGTAGTATATATATTGTCTAATTTTTAATAAATAAAGAGTTTATCAAATAAATTCTCCGTATTCTCTTTTTTGTCTTTCCAATTGTGTCGGTATTGCACATATAAAAAAGTTTTTTTCTTTTTGCAATTTATAAAAAAGTTGAATATAGTTTTTTAGCCAAATTATTCTTATATTATGTAATATTAATAACATAAGAAAGACTTCATGTTATAACAATTTCAAAACAAAAAGTTTTCATGCCACAAGAGAGGCAATTAGGAGGGTTGGACTAAAATTGTTTTCTTCAAATTTCTAGAAAATGCGGTTGAAATATGTTCGACGTGTGATATTTTTAATTTATTATTTCGTAGCGCTTTTTATGATTTTTTTAAAAATAAAATGAATATGCGTATCATTTTTTCAAGAATGTTTAGTCTTTTCAAGTATGGTGAGCTATTTTCATAATCCCTCCGTTCCTTAACTTAACGATCTTTGCATTTTTTAGTCAATCAAGTTCAATTTTGATCAATAATATATTTTAATAGAAAGTTATTTATAATATAAAAATGATCTGAAAATATTCTTTGTTAAAAGTATCCTCATAAAAATATAAATTTATAACTTTTCAAATATTATACTAATTAAAAACACAATCTAACCTTTAACACCAATGTCTTGAAAAGTTAGAGAAGGCAAAGTTTTAAGAGAAGAAGATAGTAATGTGATGCAAGTGTATTTTTGTGATTATACATAGGAGAATACGACCTTACTTTCAATCGTCTTGATAATGTGAAATTAAGAACTGCCATGTAATGGGAAAGGCAAAATATATGTATATATTTTGAAATTCAGCAACCGCTTTGTAACACTAAAGTGTTTTAATCAGATTAATCTATTGAAATATGAGAAATTGGAATTGAAACGACTAAATTAACCAATTACGTTGAATGCCTAAATTATGAAAAAATTATATTCAAAATATATTTTATTATTATAAATATATTGAAAATACATACTCCCTCCGTAACAATTTAATTGACTCATTTGCTTTTCACGCAGTTTAAGACAATTATTGTATACTTTATTAAAAGTAAGAGATTTTTGGTACTGTAACGACACTGTAGCGGTACTGTAGCAGTACTGTAGCTGTTTTTTGAGTGAGATTCTCTCCAAAAAGGGAAAAAGGTCAATTAATTTGATACCCCAAAAAAGGAAAGTGGGTCAAGTAATTTGATACGAAGGGAGTAACATATTACCTTGCTTTATTATTATTATTATTATTATTATTATTATTATTATTACTATTATTACGTCGTTATTATTATTTCGTTCCATACAATTCATATACAAGTACATTATATCATTTCTCAATATCCGCCGCTTTTTTACCACAATATAATTGGCTTTGTGGTAAATATTACTCCGTAGATATATTATATTGTACGTAGGGAGTGTTTGCAATTGCTTCAACTTTAAAAAAGTGATTTTTTAAAGTGATTTTGGGAAAAGTGATTAATAGTAAAAGTTGGTAGTGTTTGAAAAAAAAGTGATTCTGAAAAAGTAAAAGTTGGTAATGTTTGGTAAAATAAGTACTTTTTGTGTAATAGAAAAAGTGAAAAGCAGTTTAAAGCACCCTTCCACCTGCTTCCAGCTTTTAGCTTTTAAGTGATTAATTTAAGCAGAAGCTGTCATTTAAAAACACTCTTTTTAGCTTTTTTTAAGCCAAAAGCTGAAAAGCGCTTTTTTTAAGCAATCGCAAAATTGCTGTAGTACTGCTTTAGAGAGTGTTTTTGGTAATTCTTATTTTATCTTATCAATTTTACCATTCTTAACAAATAAGGAGTACGTTTCCCCCAAAAAAACAAATAAGGAGTACGTAATATTTGATTTCTTGCATTGAATTTTATAATAATTAAAATAAAAAATGAAATTATGGTACTCCCTCCGTATTTTAAAGTTCCCATTTAAAAGTTTCATACATTTTCCCTGTATGGTAAGTTTTTCCTTTAAAAAAACTCAATTGTCTTTATTTTTCTACTTTTTATCCTCTCTTTGTTACTTTTTCATATTCCCTCTTACTTTTTCTATATTATTCATTACTTTTACCATTCTACCTTAAATCTTGTGTCATAATCCAATTCCTAATCTTTGAAATACGAGGCAAGTATTATTTTTGAGTGAATTGACTCAAATTCATTTAGAAGACTAGATTGCACTAAATATATCAATCACGTTCTTGCATCCCTTCTCTCTGTCAAAAGCCTTGTCGGAATCCTTTCTCATCCCATAAAACTTTCAGTTTCCAATTACGGTAAAAATACTAAAAATGAGAAGAGGGAAATTCAATTCGTAACTGCATCAAGGTATCCACACTGACATGGAGGCTCCAATAAAATGTGCGTTATACTTCAGAACCACTTGTTCTCTCAGCTTCAAATGCTTCTCTAGTTTGTTTCATCTCATCTATTTGCGCTTTAATTGAAACTTACTAGAAAATCTGGTGTGGACTATTCGGCTTGTGCGGTTGTTCGTGATCATCTATGTATTGTTTGTTTGCTGGAAAAAGTGCCAGTGGTAAAGAGAAGCAAAATGATAGGAAATTCCACTTTTGTTTGTATAGCCTTTGTCTTCCATATATGGAATAATTGCATATTTGCAGATAGTTGTTAGTTTACCTGGTTGCATTGTTATTTTATGATCGGTTTGATGAGAATTCCGTAAATTGTGTTAGTTTTGAAAACGTTTGGCTCTTGGAGTCGTTCCTATATTTCTCTCGGAGCTTAAATTTTATTAGTGTTTGGCATAATGTTCCTTTTTTCGATCTTCGTGAAGGACGTTTTTTGGATTTCGAGTTTCGCCAAATTAAACTGATGGCGTCAATAGATGATTATGTTTTGTTATGGGATTGTAATTGTACTAATGAAATTAGTTACAGGCCTGTTGGCCGTTGACTATCATTGTCTTTTCTCAGTTTTTCATCTATGATTTTAAAGGGTATATATTAATATGATATATGCTGTGTGATGAACCAGAGAATAATTATACTTAGAGTAATTGTTTTGATTATGAAAACTACAAACAATTTTTTGTTTGTTTTTGGGTTTCTGCCTTTTGTTTTAGAGAAATACAAAACATAAAACCAAAACAGACATGGAATGACGTCTAAGGTGTTCATTTCAAACTTCTGCGTGATTGTGGAATGGTAAATGGAAGTGGTTTTGAAGTCTTCCGTTTACAGGTTAGGCTGCAGTGGTGCACTGGTTATTCCTTGTGGGTTGAGTTTCCATATGAGCAAATATGCTATATTATGTAAGATTTATTATCTACATGAAAAATTGAATCACTTTTTTTGGCAGTGTTGGCCTCAGTATAAACACTATTCTCAATGGGTGGATGCTTAGTTAGCTGATAGTGTTCAGCACAGAAAAGAAAGAATGGAAGACCTTCCATCTGGTTTAATTGTTGGGATTTCCATTGGGGTGGTGATTGGAGTAATTTTGGCTGTACTGGCACTTTTGTGCCATAGAGTACACAGGAGACACCCTCATATAGGGAATAGCAGCTCCAGGAGAGCTGTTACAATCCCAATTCGTAAAAATGCTGCTGATGCTTGTACAGTATTGTCAGATTCCTCTGTTGGGACTGAAACGCCAAAAACTCCTATCCAATATGGGACGTCGATGTGGTTTGGGAGCGTTAGAAAGTCAAACATGGTATCTGCAACTGGGATTCTCGAGTACTCATACAAGTAGGCACTTCTATTTAAATGCACTATGGCGATGCCTTCTTATAATTTTGACAAATGTCATTGAAACACATGCTTTCCAACTATTGTATGCACTCTTGGTCTCAAGTGAAGTTTGTCTGGATCTGCATTTCACATACAATATTTTCGTTAACTATAAAGAACTGCAACAACATGAGTTCAGGACTTCAGGCCTTGATAATCGCAACAAATTTAAAATAACGAAGTAAGGAACGGATATAGAAGCGAATTTTCAATCATACCCTAGTAACTGCCTGGTTATTTGATTGAGTTCAGAGCATAGGACCTATTCTAGCTGATTGCTGGTTGGAATGAGTATCAACAGTTTCATATTCCTGAGGCACACTGTCTTTTGGTAACACATATTTCCATAGAACCTCACATTTACACCATATTGTATTCATCAGTGTTTGTAACATGGCTGTTGGTCTATTTGTATTCCCTGGTTTGATGGTATTGCATTAAACTAAGTTTCTCAATGCATGTCTTGTGATATACAATCACTACAACCTATATCTGAGGACATTAATTTCTAGCATTGTGTCAGACGTTGTATGAGGTAGGCTATTGGTCCATTTGTAGTCTTAGCCTAATTGCATATTTATATTGTCTTGAAGTAAGTCTTTCAAGAATCGTATATTTTCCACCACCTTAAAGCATTTACCCGGGTTTCTAATTGTGTGTATCTGTGTTATACAATTACATTAGTGTATTGTAGTGCTTTTATTGTGTGTATCTGTGTTATACAATTACATTAGTGTATTGTAGTGCTTTTAAAAAGTTTCTCAAAGTACATTTCCTGATACATGCAGGGATTTACAAAAAGCAACTTGCAATTTTTCCACATTGATTGGGCAAGGGGCATATGGTCCTGTATACAAAGCTCAGATGCCAACTGGTGATACTGTTGCTGTTAAAGTGCTTGGAACAGATTCTACACAAGGAAAAAAAGAGTTTCACACAGAGGTACCCCTATAACCCTGCCACTGATGATTTTATTTATTAGTGGCAGAAATATGGATCCTGGTTCTGTATGTCTATATCCTTCGCTTAGTACATGGATAATTTGAAGCAAGGTGTGCCTCTATAAGGCACAGAATCTTCGTTTAGATTATTATGGATCTCAAATTTCCGAGAAGTTTGTACATGCTCTTAATATAAAACAACAGGACGCTAACTGACTCTTCTTCTCCCTTTAATCCTTTATTTTCTCCTATGCATCTGAACTTTTTAACTCTCTATGTGTCATAAGTATTTTTGGAACTTTCTATTGACCTTCTGCATTATTTGTTCTTAGGTCATGCTACTTGGAAGGTTGCATCATAGGAACCTTGTGAATTTGATTGGATATTGTGCTGAGAAGGGTCAATACATGCTTATCTATGTCTACATGAGTAGAGGTAGCTTGTCTTCACATTTGTATGGTAAGTATGGAACCATGGTGGTGACAAAGTCATCAACATGTAGACAGTGCAGTTCTATTGGTTTATAATGGTCATATCAGTTAGTGAGTTTAGTTTAGCATAGCGGCAAAGTTGGTTGTATTCTAGATGTCATGTCTGAGTCATAGACCTGGTTTATAGTAATATTTTTAAAATCTTCTCTTTCATTTATCATGATAGCAGATGAAGTATTGGAGCCGTTGAGTTGGGATTTGAGGGTTCACATTGCCCTTGATGTAGCAAGAGGTTTGGAGTATCTTCATGACGGTGTAAAACTTCACTCTTACTTGACATTTTTTTATTATGGTTGTAATGTTCATCGCCATATTTTTTATTTTTTTATTTTTTTAGCATGCACCACTACGATTCTCAGTAACCATGTCCTTCATTATTTTTTGTCTTCAGGCAGTCCCTTCTGTAATACACCGAGATATAAAATCTTCCAATATTTTGTTAGACGAATCCATGGGGGCCAGGGTATGGAATTGCTTAATTGATGTTTGTGTTTTTATTTCTGTTTTGACCTTTTGGAAAAACATATACTACGTATAAGCATACTGCGCTAGAATTTTTTATGTACTTGGTCATGGATCTGTTTGGCAATACTTATTATAACGTGTAATAATGACTGATGAGGCAACCAATCACACTTGAAATTGATGATAACCCACAAACTATGCTTCAATGGAACAGGTTGCAGACTTTGGTCTGTCAATGGAAGAGAGGGTTAACAAACATGCTTCTAACATACGGGGAACATTTGGATATCTGGATCCTGAATATATATCAACAAGGACATTCACCAAAAAGAGTGATGTGTACAGCTTTGGGGTATTACTCTTTGAACTTGTTGCTGCAAGAAATCCTTTTCAGGGCCTTTTAGAGCATGTTGAAGTAGTAAGCTTTCTCCTGGAATTTGCCCTTAGCCCCCATCTTTTTATGATTTTTTATATAATCAGGCGATGACATTTCCTTATTTTGGTTAAACTCTAAAAATCATGACAGGCTGCTATGACAACAGATGGTAAGAGCGGATGGGAAGAGATAGTGGACTCCCGTCTTAATGGGAAGTATAATGTTCAGGAACTTAATGATGTGTCAACCCTTGCATACAAATGCCTCAACTCTTTACCCAAGAAAAGGCCTTCCATGAGAGAGATTGTGCAAGTTCTGGCTCGGGTAATCGAATCCAGACGTAGTTTGCAGCATCACAAGCAGTTATCTGCAACACCAGAAGAGGTTAGCATCAGTGTAGACCAGCTACATCGGCGGAGTCCAATCTCTAGACACCGGCGTGTTCAATCTGCGGATAGCACTACTGAATCGTGTTAGATTTAATGACTACAGTTTCCCAGTTCAACTCCAATATCTTCCTCTTTTCTCATTACGTTTTGTGATATAAGTTTGACATAGGATCTAGAAATTAGGCAATTACAACAGTCTAAGACATCTCTATACACTTTTGCTCTTGCTTTTCTTTTCTGTGTTTCTAGTTAAATTAGAAGAAGCCAATATGGGAAGCTGGACAAGTCATAAGTGACGTTGTTGAGTCCTTGGTATGAGGTTCAAGTTCATTAAGCTTTGGGCCGCCTTTCTGGAAATTGTTTTTTTTTTTTGCAAAGATCTGGAAATTGCTATACACTATGTTCTACATTTTTTTTACTTTCCCAGCTATATGGGCATGGCAATCACAGAATCACATATTCGTTCTTTATCCAACAATGCAAGCAAAATCTACTGCGTAAATTTTGGGTATTACTGATACTGAGCACTTGTTCTGATGTATGTACAAGAAAGTCAAGGTATTTAGAACCAAACATGTGTCTCAACTCTCAACCGGTAACGGTTCAAAACTTCAAACTACTCTGATTAAATCAGATTGATAGTCAAGGTAATCAGACGGTTACGAGTAGAATAGTCAATAACAACAATCACACTTATATTAAAGTTATTTACACGTCAAAGATGAATAGGTGAAAATTTTAAATTTGTGTGTATTTAGTATTCACCTTTAAAAGTTGTACAACCCTTGTACATAGAGGGGTCAAAGTGAATATGTTCAATCCAAAGGGTGAAAATCACACCCCTAGTTGACTCACTTTGTGGCTGGTTAAATAATACCAAACTCCAATGTGATATAGAATCAACGTAATAGTCTCTTGTGATTTAAAAAAATGCGTCAATTCCCCGTGTTATAATTATTGGTGTGCATAACATATTTTCTTAATAAATTTAACAATTTTAAATTCACTTTTCTGAATATTATGATTAAATATGCAGGTAAATTTGTCAAAATCTCTAAATTAAACTATCGTACAAAAATGTTAATCATTTGTCTTTTTTGGGCAATTAAATTTATTCATAGAAGGAATTCTGCGCATGATTCATAATAGCATTGGGAGGTTTGATGTGTTTTATAAATCACATTATGTTAATGCGTCAATTTTTTATATCAAAAGACGGTATTTGGTACTTTGATGCATTGAACCCCTTTGTGGTCTATGAGTTAAATAATTCGGCTACTTGCAAAAGTTGGTCGAAGAGCCTTTTAGCATGTTTGCAAACGCTTTAAAAAAACGTTTCTGGACGTTTGTCTTAAAAAACTAAAATTAATGTTTTCAAGTGACAACTTCTACTTAGGATGTTTTTACTTGGATTGTAATTTGCTGGTCTGATCTGGTCTGGTTTCATTATATTTTATAACTATCCAAGTCTGGTCTGATCTGGTCTGGGACGAATTACAGTCCTATTAAAAACATCCTTAAATTAAACATTTAAAAGTTAAAAGCTTAAAACTATTTATTTTTTCTATTACAGAAAAGCACATATTTTACCAAATAGTACCAACTTTTACTTTTCAAAATATTTTCTCAAACATTACTAACTTTTACTATTAAGCATTTTTTCGAAATCGTTTTACAAATTTGATTTTTTAAAAAGCAAAAGCAATTGTAAACACTCCCTTTGCCAGTGACGCATTTTGTAAGTTACACAGTAGTGACAGTGATGTGATACCTATAATAACTTGAAAAGTTATGAACTTTCAAAAAAAATTAATTTCTTTGTTTAAAAGAGAACTTCTAGTGTAATTCTCAAATGTATTAATTTGGAGAAAGGACACAAATTTTACCAGTAACTTTGTGAGATGCAAAAAAGTGATTATTTTTTCTTTTCCCCAAAAATATGACAAACGTTTTGTTTAATTTGTCTAATTTTTATTGTAATTTATATCCAACCTCCAGCCCAACTCCGACCCCACCTGCCCAATCAATGCCGGAAATCACAACCAAAAATCACCGGTCACACGGACATGTTTCACAGCGACGGTGACATTTGTGATCACAATAGTGTAATTTATGATAGTAACATAAACATATATGATAAAACATAAAATATGACAATGAGATCATGTTTTTCAAAAATATTACCTTATTTGTCACACATTTCTCTATATGTAAGAAGAACTAAGAACAATCACTTTTTGAAAATGAGTTTAAATTTAGTCATATTTAAAAAAAATGTATGTTATTCTCAATTATTTACATTTTAACTTGTGTTCCCTCAAAAAACATTTTAACTTGTATAACCGATCAAGCCAACAAAAGCACTAGCTTAAACTTCAGAAGGGGTATGAAACATATATGGAAATTTCTAGAATTATGAGTAACAATAATGTGATATTTTAAAAAGATGAATATTTTGTTTTTCTCATATAAAATAAATTATTGTCATTGTGCATCATAATATCATATTTAAGCATTATCAGTCATCAATATATATTATAAATGCTACAATTAGCTGCATCTATCAATTAACAAAATAATTACTCATATTTAGAAAGAAAAATAAAGTATTCCTATTTTGAAATATCATACTACGTATTATTTTTATTCAGAATTCTTTTGAAACATTTATGTATAGCCAACCATGACAATTGTAAAAAGACAAGTAACTAAGAAAGAATCGAGTGTTGTTTATGTTGACTCCAGGAAACAAATACAACTTGATTTACATCACTTGTTCTTCCTTAATCTATTTAGATCCTTAATCTATTTAGAGCATTTTCAATACAAAAATCTCATGTGTATAAATGACATGAGAGATATAAATACATAAAAACTATGAATTTGAAAGGTCGTATCAAAATTTGATACTCCGTATTATTTTTCCAAAATATCAAGAGAAAATCTTGATGTAGACACTGTGTTTAACATTATTGCTAAAACTAAACTAAAATATAAAAGATTGAGGAAAAAGAGAGAGAAATCTCATTATTTTAATTTTGAGTACACATTGAAGATGTTTTTAGACCTCAATTATTTTTTGAACTAGTGGAGTAACAACTAAGAGCATCCATAGGATGGATTGGTGCTTAGGTGTATAATGGAGAGGGTCTATCAATACCCAACTCCAATGGGGAAGGAAGAAAATGTTATTTCAATAAAAATCATTATTAAAAGATCAACATTGCAAGGACAAGAGGTGAGACCTATGGTCTCAATGTAAAACCCCCGATGGACTTTATGCATTGCCACAGAGGATGGACCCCACTCATTTCTTTTTGCATTGGAGAATGCATTTGCTTAAGAAAGTGGGACTCTAAACATTTTTTCCCACATGTGGCATCAAGATTTATTTTCAAGTAAAGTCACTTATTTGGTTTAAGACTAACATCTTCAATTACGGATGGAATTGGAAGATCTGACCTCATGTTTTCGCAGTGCCATGGGACTGTACTTGGCATGACTGAACCACAGTTAAAAAAATGAAATTGGCTTGTTATATGCTCCTATTCAAGAAAAATGGGTTTTTTATTATAAGAGGCTTACTCGTATTATAATTCCTCGGTCAAGTCTCTTCCTTTGCTATCTAGTCTAGTTAAAATTCAGCACATAAATGGAAGTTCTACAGCAACCAATTAGAAATACAGCAGGTGAAGAAGGAACAGAGACGGGAAACAGATTAACATATTGTGTAACAGGAGGCTCAGGCTTCATAGGATCCTGGCTCCTCAAATCTCTCCTCCAGAAGGGCTATAATGTCAATGCCACTGTCCGCCATCCAGGTCCTAAAGCTCTTTCTTCCCTATTTCATCTTCTATGTATATTCTTGCTCATCAATCTCCTACGAATTCATTAGTTTGAACCCGTTTGTGCTGTTGACTGATTATTTTGTGAATTTTAATTTAGAATATTATAATCCATTTGTGTTACTGTATCTGGGATGTTTAATACTCCGTATGTTAATGTCAGTGTTAATTCCACTTTTGATCCTATAGATTTTATGTCAATTCCATGTTTGCTTGGTGTCTTTGGTTTTGACTGTTTTTGGTACTTGACTATAGTTTCTTGCCTATCTGTGGTCTTCCGTCCAAGTTCTTGGAGCATTTCAGGCGATTTTAAGCCCCAAAAATATCCACGGAGGGACATGAAACAATAGTATGTACCAAAAGTCGGACCAAATGTGGAATTGGTGCAATACCCGTAGGACCAAAAGTAAAATTTATTCTTAACATAATACTTATTTACAAGAATAATTCATAGTATATCTCAAAATGGTTGTTTACAAGTGGCGAGAAATTTGCCATCCATATGATGTTTACCTCACTAGTATTCTTAATTAAATGTTTCCTTTAGTGATTCTTCATACTATAAGCTCTTTGACCAGAAAAGGCGCTGCATCTGTTAAAATTGTCTGATCGGCTGAAGCTGTTTAAAGCTGATCTTAACGAAGAGGGGAGTTTCGACGAGGCAGTTAGAGGCTGTGATGGAGTATTCCATGTAGCTGCATCAATGGAATTTGGTTTACAAGAAAAACATAATAATGGTAACTTAGTTTAATCATTAATCATATTGCAGTGGCAAGTTCTAGGATTAGAGTGGAAGACCGGCCGAGCTTGAATATGCTACATAATTGGTAATATACATGCTATTTGTTCATAAATGGAAGGCTAATCATGTTTCTGAAATAACATGAATTAATGGATCTATATTGAAATAGTATTAAATTGAATCTTCTAATGAACATGTAAATTACGAGTACTATAAATACTCCCTCCGTCCCGTTAAGATAGTCTCATTTTACCTTTACGGAAAATCCCACTAAAATTGTCCCGTACCAAATTTGATAAAGTTTGTGTGGGTGAGTGGCTCTAAATCATTTTTACTTTATTCTTACTTTATCAATTCAATATAAAACACATAAACCCACTTTTCTTAATAACCGTGTCACCTCCTCTTGTCCCAACGTTAGTGGGACGGAGGTAGTAATAGTTAATTTTTATGTTTACTTAAAGAAACTAAACAAGCATTTACAAAGAGCTTATTCATGAGTTATTCACTGATGCTCATTGACCTTCCTAACTAGGATGCCTGCTAGCACTTTACTATGTGCATACATGTATTCCAGTTTAGTTGGACTGTTCTCTACTGGCATATTAATTCTAGAATTTGTGTAGTTCTGACTCGAGTTTTTATTTGTTCTATCTTGAAGATAATTATGTTCAAGAACATGTGATAGACCCCGCAATCAGAGGGACAATAAACGTTCTGAAATCTTGTTTGAAAGCATACTCGGTGAAAAGAGTTGTTTTCACATCATCAATCAGTACAATGACAGGCCAGGATAGTTCTGGAAAATTGAGACCTGTGGTAGATGAAACTTGCAACATCCCAACAGAACATGTATGGAAGACTAAGCCAAGTGGATGGGTATGTATAATGTTGCATTTTTTAGATACTGATATGTAAATTATTTATATTATATACATATGGACTATTTTATCTATGGTTATTGACTTATTGTAACTCAGTTTATATGATAATTTATAAATATATATCCCTATATTTTTTACATTTATGTGTTACGCCACGTTTTATAGCCAATATTTTTCAAAATATCATTTCCTACATTCACACTTCATGTTTCGTGTGCAATGCTAATCAGTCTTAAATCATTCATACTAGAGATGAAAAGCTAATTAAATATCTTATTTTAGGTGTATTCTATTGCAAAGGTATCCACAGAAGAGGCTGCATTCAGATTTGCCAATGAAAATGGTATAGATTTGGTGTCAGTAATTTCTCCAACAGTGGCTGGTCCATTCTCCACTTCTACAGTTCCATCAAGCATTCGGTTTCTCTTATCACCAATAACAGGTAATTCATGTTTTTCCCGAAACTCTATCCAAGCCACATTTTATGGGACTGTTATTAAGGTTTTACTTTTTGTATTTGGACTAGTGTAGGGGACGCAGGGCTGTTACCAATACTAGCATCAGTAAACTCAAGAATGGGATCGATTGCAGTAGTTCATGTGGAAGACATATGCTCTGCCCACATATTCCTCATGGAAAATGATAAAGCTAAAGGACGATATTTCTGCTGTGCTCGCAATATTTCAATTTCTGAACTGATTGCTCGACTAACTGAAGAATACCCAATTCCTAATGCACCAAGGTTCTTTTTTTAATATATTCCCTATTCATTGTTCTCCAATATAATATGTTGATTCATGTTAGCCAATCCCAAACTTTTCAGAAATATTTTGTATAGATGTTGTATTGTTTTCCAAACAAGTTACTGTTCTGATCTTTTTCTTTTTGTTTGTGTAGCCTGATAATGCAAGATGATAATCTGCAGCCCCCCACTATTTCGTCAAAAAAATTAATGGACCTGGGATATTCTTTCAAACATGGTGTCCAAGGTATCATACAGGATACTATCCAGAGCTGTATAGAACATGGGTTTTTACCTTGTAAACAATAGTAAGCATCTCCTCCTTCATTATGCACCATGAAACAAGCCCACCATCTGTAAAAATTACAAAGCATAGATGACTATATTGTATACATGATAAATGGGGGTGGGGGTGAAAATGTGCACGCGGAATTACTTGATAGCTTGTTGCAGCTTAGGTCAGCAACCTTGTAATTCATCATGGATTTCTGATGCCGTTTGATTATTATTCGGATTATGTTCTTTCCCATTTAGTAGAAGTTCTTGGTTACCACTGTAAGTACTACATTGGTCTGTAATAACACTGTATTATCTCAATAATGGTAATCTTCAAAGTGTAATGCATATTCTAATTTTAATAATTTAGTTGAAATTTGAACACAAAGGAGCAGGTAAAACCGTAAAACTAGTCGTCTTCAAAACATTATGCATATTTTATTGTTTGACAATTTAGTTGAAATTTGAACACAAACGGAGCAGGTAAAACTAACTCATTATTTGCTTATGAGTGCAAGATTGCTTGTTTTGGTTGTTGCATTCTAAGACTTTTTCCCTAACATCTTTCTATTGCTTTTTTTAATACTTCCTAAATTAGTTGGGAATGGGTATAGTACTGCCGACAATAATATAAGTTAGGTTCTCCTGACAGGAAATGCCGCGAGTGAAATTGAGCCATTGAGGTATATAAGTTGTTGTGTTGTGTAATAAAACGTCTTTCGATCAGACTAAAATAGAATCTGTATCACCACCTATGCATTGCACACAGAGGTAGACATGGGCCTTTTTTGCTCCTTACTGAAGGTGTAACAGCAACTGAAACCGGGTAATAGCAGTTTTCTTCCAAAATGGGTAGAATCGGCCAGTTCTGAGTTCGGTTCTTGCCTTTTTTCATGGCACTAAAACTCATCCAGTCCGTTCCTATTTCGCAGGAATCGGAACTGGCCTGGAAATTATTTGATTCCATTCAGGAATCAGGACCAGTCAGTCCGGGTTCGGTTCCTGATTAAAAAAAATGTCCTGGTCTAGTTTCAGTCCAGGCTGAACCATATACTTCGTATGTGCCTAGTTGCACTGGAATGCCATGACTAAATAGTAGTTACTGATTTTACTGGGAAATAGAATACAGTCGTACAACTCCCGATCTAGACACAATGATCACGTGTGATGTACTATGAACTATGAAACACTAGAAATTGGTAAAAAGTTTTACCGATTTACTAAAAACCTCAATGTAGACGAACATCACATGAGTCATATGACGAACTTCAACCTAGATGGACTTGTTATTCTTTAGACAGCAATATACAACAGATTGAGCCATATGTCGAGCATCATTCGCCTTAGACGATGTGGTGTGATAGAATTACAAAATGTTACATATTTTAAAAGGTAGATTATATGGTACACATAAGGTACCATACCTTTGTCCATATGGACTAATGAGAATGTAGCAGTTGAATTATTTAAATCTAAATTAAAAATGATAAAGTGATGTGGTCCAATCAAATGAATGATAGGTACGGTACGCCATATTTTAGAAAGGTAACGGAGTTGTCACCATTTTAAAAGGTGATAGGTGTATATTTTATCTTATGTGTAATGTATAATACTCCGTATTAGCTTACCCACAGTAGGTGGTGGATCGGCATCAACAATTAGATCGAGATCAGAGCTGGATTTATATGCCATTGAAACATAAACAAAATATACGGCCACTTTCATGCGTAAGCTAGCTGTAGTGCGATGTGCCAGTATTAGAATTGAACTTCTTTTACATTTCACATTAATTAATACCTAATGCCAAAGTCTTCTGTTTTGTTTTTTGTTTTTGGAATGTGCACATCCAACATGAGAAAATTTTGTACAAATCTTTACTCCTTGAAAAAGATTTAGTATCTCTTCAAGAAATTCAATATATTGACAATTCCTTCTGATTCTTTAGTTAACAATACATTACAAAGATAGAACCTTATTCAAAGAGCTCCAATTTGTAAGGGTATGATCGGATAGGATTTTATTGTTTTTAATTCTCTTTTAGCTGCTGTTTTAACTACTTTGGATTGCATTGTCGATATGGGATCGTTTTGAGCCAATGCAGACTATTTATACAGCGTAGACAGTGTAGAACCCCAATATAAACCAAGCAGGGGAGGATTTATGTATAGGCTATGATGGGCTGAAACTCAGGGCAGATTTAAAAAAATTCAATTTTTTTAGTGTAAATTTTTAATTTTTTCATATTTAGTGCACCCCACTAAATTTTAAGCCTAGTATATTTACTTTTCAGTCCAGGGCATCCCGAAATCCTGGACCCGTCCCTGAAACCAAGGGAGTTAGCAGGATAATTGCAAAGAAGACATTATTTCATTAAATTTAGGATGTTTTCTATTGGACCGAAATTTGCTGGTCTGATCTGGTCTGAACTGGTCTTGTAAACGTCTGACCTCTGTGTATTTTACAACTACGAAAGTCTGGTTTGGGACTGAAAACGGTTCAAAAGAAAACATCCTTGTACCTTTCAAGTTTCAATAATGAAAAACACTACTGCAATCACGCTGCATCTCTTTCAAATGATAATAATGATGCTTTCGTAAACCACACAATTAATTAAATCCCTGTTCATAATTGTATCCTAAATATATTAACTCCAATAAACATACTAAATAACAATTACACTACAAATAATGCAAAGAGATTTTAAAGGTTGGTTTGCAACTGCTTTTAAAAAAACACTTCTCAGCTTTTGACTTTTAAAAAGCACTTATTTTCCCAAACACTACAACTTTTGTTTTTCTCGGCTTCCGCGTCAAAAGTGTTTTTACTTTTTCTATTACACAAAAAGCACTTATTTTACCAAACACTACCCACTTTTACTTTTCAAAATCACTTTTTTCTCAAACACTATCAACTTTTATTTAATCACTTCTCCCCATTTCATTAAAAAAACACTTTTTTAAAAGCAGAAGCTGATGCAAACGGACCCTAAATCATTGTAGGTGGTCCAAGTGTAATTGCAAAAGGCACCAATCATTAACCTTGCCAAATTCCAATGTTGCAGATGCTAAAATGCTAAATAAAACTATACTTGGTCTCAAACTACTTTAGAGTTTAGAAGCAGAAAGTGGAAAGCATTGAGTATGTTATTCCATCTCTTCAGGATTTGCAGATCACTACAAAACATGGAAGTAAAGCTTTGGGATTAAGCAAATAGAGTTCCTCCACATTTGAATGTAGGCCTACTTTCCCAGCCAATGAATCAAACCCTGTTTGGCTAGCAATTTCTTGTATGTTCTCCAAAGGCCTATGCACTCGACCCGCAATCACTCTGCAGACCAACAAGACTCTTCTTTGGGATGGATCGTCCTCGTCCATTTCTATACACTCAAAGGCTCTTCCACTCGTGGAAGTCGTGAAAACGCCGATCCCGCCCTTGAATTCCTTCTTAGTGGAAAACCCGTTCCTTATGATCCGACAAACACAACACCTATCTGACCCACAAAGACTGCATGATCCATTCATGCCAAGACAGCATGCGACAGTGGTGCCGTAGAACCTTAATAGCTCATTTCCATCTGCAAGACATCGCGGGTGTTTCTTGGGCAGTTTTCCGGCCTTCACCTTCACCATCTCCCTATATTCTTCAAACCTTGCAAGAGTCTTCTGTGTGTTGTGAACTTTCAACACCCTTTCAATTCGGCCGCATTGGCTCTCTGATTTTATCCAGCTTGACCGACAGATTATCTCCACTATTTTCCTTGAGGAGTCACCCTCCAAAAGTTCAGTCACTGCATATAATTTGATGCCAAAGTAAGTACTCAAGAAGCTAAGAATGGCCTCATATGCCATGTTGTAAAAAAAACATCAAGCAGTTGACCACGGCCTTGATGTTGATTGATAAATAAGTCTGAGGAGATCTAATGTATGTTGCTAGTTAACCGGAATAAATACCTTTTCTGTAGAACATGTATTGACAATGAATAATATTAAGGGTTGGGTTCTGCCCTATGGGTCAGTTTGGATGGAGATGGACTGAACTTAAGTAGACATGCTGAACTAAGTAAACATAGTTTTACTTAAAATTGTGTGCATAAAAATTTGTTTGGATAATTATTAGATTAACTATGGGTCCATGCAACTAGCCGGCACTGGGGTAATGATAATGATGAATGATGAATTATTCGATTAACTCAACTGAATGCGATAAACATTTGTTTAGATAAAGGTTAACCTATGTAAACATGATAAAATTCCTTATAAAGAGAACATTTACTTCGCATGTTCACCGAAAGGGAGCTATTTGAGGTTTTTGCAAGTAAAATTATATTATGTGAAAATCTAAACGAGGTTAAATCAAAATTTAACTTAAAAGAGCCTAGATTCATTTCGAAACTAACTCACTAAAAGAGATTCTTCTTAATGAAGGAGTAACCTAATGCCTTCATATATAGCCAAAGTGGGATAAAATTTCAAACACCCTGTCTAGTAAGATCTTGATTTTTTCCAACCTGAACCTTTTTCTGGCTGTGAAAAAGTTTTGAAAAGTTTATCACATTATATAAGACATTGTCTGAAAAATATAATACCAAACAGGGAAAGACAAATCTCAATAGAGCAAAGAAAACAAGCATTAAATACCCTGTCTAAGATAATACTCAGCAAAAGCAAAATACCAGCGTGTTTGGAGAGATGGTGGGCTTCAAAAGCTTCCCACTTTCCAAACTGCTCATCACCGCACTTGTGACATATGAACGGTGCAGAGCGGCCATTGATGTCAGTGGAAGAAGCCCTGCGTTTTGAAGGAAAGCCATTGTTGACCACCACACTCGCTGAGGCATCTTTTTCCCCCATAAGAGGAGAAAGGGTCCTTCTTGGGAGAGTTGCTGCTTGGCTTCTGTAGGAAGAGCTGAAGTAGTGCCCTCCTCCGGGGCCAGGCGTTCCTGGCCGCAGAAGAGTGCCAACAAGTGACCCTGAACCATTCCCGCCGCCGTCTCTTCCGTCGTGGGACCCACTGAAGCTTGTGATTTTGAGCTCACACCTGGAGTTGCTGAGAATGACCTCATGTGTGATTGGGTTGAGAAACTCACTGCTTCCTATGGATCTTGGGCTGCAACTGGGTGGGTTCCCCATGTCTCTCTCTCTCCCATGGATGACATCTTTGAGGTTTGCTATGGACCTTGAACACCCAGACCTCCTACTGGATTTCTTGGGCAAGATTGAGCTCAACTCACATTTCTTGCTCTTTGGAACATGAACTTCTGATACCTCTGACTTACAATGCAGAGATTTCTTTAAAGTAAACCAAACAGAAGGCGCACTCTTTTTCTCCTTGTTCTTCTTGTTGTTCTGGTACTGGTTCTGGTTCTTCTCTTCCTGCCCCATTTACCC